GTTTGATATGTGATTTAAGCTTTAGTAATGTTTCTTTTATGAATGTAGGTGCCCTTGTGTTTGGGGCATAAATATTCAGAATTGAGACTTCATCTTGTTGGATTTTGCCTGTGATAAATATGTAATATTCTTCTTGATCTCTTTCAATTGATTTTAGTTTGAAGTCTATTTTATTAGATATTAGGATAGCTATATCAGCTTGCGTCTTAAATTGATTTGATTGGAAAGTCTTTCCCCAGCCTTTTATTCTGAGGTAGTGTCTGTCTTTGAAGTTGAGGTGTGTTTCATTTTGCAACAAATGGATGGATTTTGTTTTAGTATCCATTCTGTTTGCCTGTGTCTTTTTATAGTGAATTGAGACCATTGATTATTAATAGATATTAATGACCAGTTATTGCTAATCCTGTTAGTTTTAGGTGGTAGTGTTGTATTTTTCTTTTCTTTGGTATTTGTTGGTGTGGCACTACCTATTGCCTGTATTTTTATGGGTGTATCTAACTTCCTCAGGTTGGATTTTTCCTTCATTTGTGGTGTATAGGGCTGGATTTGTGGATAGATATTGTTTAAATCTGTTTTTTTTTTGACCACCAATGGTACTTTATTCTGGAAATTTCTATGTATTACATAGGTATTAACATCCTTCCTCTCAGCCCCACACCCCCTGCACATACAGAAAGATTAAAAAAAAAGATGTGCTGTATAAAATCTTCTTACCTACTCTGTCTAAAGCCCTGAAGAGTGTCCCTGCATGTGAGCGAGACTCTGGAAGGACTGGCCTTGTGCTCAGGACTGCCAGTCCTTCCCGGGGGCAAATGGTCAGCGCTCCTGCTTCCTCTTCGAGATCCATTTCTCAATCATTACACATTAGCATTCCCCACTTGACACCTCATTAGCAACTTGATTGCTGGATGCATTTTTCATTTGGCAAAAATTCAATATGGCTTTGCATGGGATGTTTAGTGTCAGAAGCGGCGGTGTTGATGCTCAGGCTCTGCGGGGAAAATAGAGAGCGTGTGTATTCCTGGAGGAGCACACGTTGTAGGCTGAAAGGGCTGTGCAGTTACCGCCTCATTAACACTGCCTGCTTCTCAAGTCTGTGACATTGGCCGGAATACAAAAGCCCCCAAGGACGACCCTCTGCCTGCTTCTATTCCTGGGTGTTGGAGTTGGTATGCATGACACCGACACAAGGCACACTATGGCATCGGAAGATGGCTCCCTGGGACCATCTTAGAAGACCTGGGTGTGCCCGAGACAGCATCCCTCTACCCAGAAGGGTATGCCTTAAGGATCTTCACGTCATCCACGGG